ACAGACCCCAAAGACCCCTCCCAAAGACCCTGCTTGGCTTTCTCTGACTCAGTGGCTGATCCTTTGTGCCCTTCTCCCAGCCAAGCTTGTTTGGGCCTGGCCCTGAGGTCAGAGCCAGTGTTGGAGCCTGTGTTGTGGGGCTGCTCCTGCTCTGTGGCCTGTCATCAGCTGGGAATGCTCTTTAATGGGAGTGGGTTGCAGAGTGCCTGTAATGCTTTTAAGAATAAAGAGCAGCATATGCACTCAAGCCAGACCTATATTTTTCCTGTCCTGCAGCTCTTTATTTGCCCCTGCTCAGAGGGATTCTCTGATGTAGCTCCACGCCTGGCCCAGCCTTTCTGTCCCCACTGCCACCCCCCACCATACATTATGTTTAAATAAATGCATTTTCACTGCCAGGAGCCATCCATAAGGCTGGGGCTGGCCTCTTCCTAATGGGGGGTTTTAGCTTGGATGGACACATTTGTATTAGTGATGTCTAGTTCCTTTCTAGTGTGAGCTGCAAGCCCAGGAGTTAAATGTGTGCTTGCCATGGGTCTGTGCTGACCCAAAACAGCCTCCCTGGAAATGAGGAGTGGGAGATGGTGGGCAGGTTCTGAGGGGAGCAGGTGAGCTCACCTTCTGCCTCTCAGTTCCTGAGCTGATCCTTCACAGGCTGCTGTCACTTCACAGACCCGTGCAGGTTTCCTGCACCTGAGGAACAAAGGGCTCTGCTCCTTTCCAAGGGAGAAGGGATCACTTGGCCATCAGAGGATTGGTTGCTGGAGTGTTGCTCCACTGGTGGAAATGCTGGTTTCTCACAGCACCCTGTTGACCTTACAGTGGCCGAACTGTCTGCAGGTGTTGGGCAATGAGGCTGGAGCTGTTGGTAATTGTTGTTGAGAGCTGTTGCCTCACTCAGAATGAGCTGCTGAAGTGGGAGCTTGATCTGGCTCTGTGCAGAGGGCCGGGCGTGGCTCTGATGCTGCAGGGTGTCGAAGTGCACTGAACCTGAGGGTTTTCACAGGAATCCCTGGTCAGTGCCTCTGCTGGAAGTGGGTCAGAACAGAGCCCAGGCTCAGCAGCTCTCGTTCTGGCTGTTGTGATGTGCCCTGTCAGCTGGGTCATGTGTCCCACACACTTGTATGTGTCCTGCCTTTATGGTGGTCCCTGCTTTTCCCTGCCCATTCTGGCATCTTGTACTTGAGCTCGTGACCTTTTGACTTTGAGGAAAATCTACCCATTTTTCTTACAACAAATTAAAATCTGGCCCAAGAAGTTGAGTGCAGGAGCAGAAGCTCATGGTTTGGCTTGCTCTGCAGCCACTCCAGCAGCTGGAGTCTGACCAGCTGTTCTCCTTGGGCTTTCTCAAAACCTGCCAGCATGGGCTGAGTCCCTTGCCCCAGCAATACACTACTTGAATCTCCTCCAGCCTTGCATCAGCCATTTATTTGTCTATAAAAGCTGTTGTATTATCTGGTGGTTGGGGTGCATAAGTGGGATCCCCACTCTGTTGGAGTCCCACCATGCCAAACCCTGCCTGCTGGCAGAGTGGCTGCAGCAGTGCCTTCCTCACACTTCAGAAAAACACAAGCAGCTTCCTAACCCTGAGGCCTTGCCCAAAGGCTCTGGGTTGTTTGTGTTCCCTCTGTAAGCAGGAAATTCCAAGGAGGGTCGCAGGAATCCAGTGGTTGTGTGGATGTGTGAGTGACCTGCTGGGGTGGCCTCTGGGCAATGGACTCCGGGGAATCCTCCTCCAGCCCTCACTGCCCTCCTGACACTGTCTCCAAGGCTTTGAGTGAAGAACACAAACATCTGGGGCCAGTGCTTTAAACTTCCTGGTGCCTTTGGGCCAAGCCACTCGTGTTTCATCTTGCTTTTTGTTTTTGGGGTTTCATCTTGCTTTTTGTTTTTGGGTGTGTAAATACAGGGGTCCAGCACCCTCTGCTCTGCACAAGGACCCTGAGCTCTCCTGGTGCTTCCTTGACCCATGTTAGTGAGACCAGAAACCAGCCCCAAAGGTTCATCATTTGAGCTGAAAGCACCACGTTGTTCTCCAGGCTTGGCCCTGCTTTAGCTCCTTGCCTGGGGTGGTTTTGGGAGAAAAGTCACTACTGCAGCTGGGAAGAAAGAAATGGAAAAGCAAGAGGACAAATGTGGTCCTGTTTAAGGTACTTTGGGGCTTTACTGTGACCTAAAGCATGTGCTTTATTCAGCAGTTTTCACAAGCAGGAAGTTTTATTTAAGGCCTTGCTGAATCATAGAGCAAGAGAAAACTGAGCACAAGAAATAGTTTAAATGGAGCAGATATTGCTGTTTTCAGAGATTTCCTGATGTCCTCAATGTTCAGTCTTAGTTGTGTTAAGCAGATGTCATCAGGAGCATCTTCAGGTGCTGCCCTGGTGCAGCAAAGGGCAGGTGAGACCTGGGTGATACCCAGAGACCACAGGGTAAAAGCAACCCCCCTCTTTGATGTGAGGGAGAAAAGCAATCAAAAAGCAGCAGTGATGAAATTGGCTCCAGACCTTTACTGGGGGCCTGTATTTACAGCATTCTCCTGCCTGTGCTGCAATTGGGGTTTCTATTTAGAAATCAGAAACAGCCCAAAGGCACAGAGAGTTCTGGGCTTTGTGTTCTGCTTTTCTCAGCGCCCTCTTTCCATACCTCAGGAGAATTGTTTGGCCTTTCTGGCAGAGCTGAAGAGGAAGAGGAGGGAAGGGAGTGATGTCCTTTGCTGCAATCCCCACATTTAAATATAAATAGTTCTCCTCTTGGATCCTTCCAGTCTGATCTTAGGGGTGATTTGACCTTTCTTTGATAAAAGCTTTCTTTATTTGCAGGAATAAAAAGGCAAAGGGGAGGAGAGGACACAGCAGATGTTTTTTTTTGAAATATCTTTAGATCCTGGCAGTTGGTTTCTGCAGCACCCAGTGCTCACTGCTGGGCTCCAGCTTTGCTCCCCCTCTGAGCTCCTTGGACAAACTTTGCATTTTGCTGTGAAGCATTGACCTGGAGATCTCTAAGGAAATGTTTTATCATGGGGACACCACGCTCCAGTGGGGACAGATGCCCCAGGCTCTGGTGCCCAGCCCTGCCCACTGCACCACTGACCCTGCTTTTCCTCATTTCATAACTTCAGCTGAAAGAAACATTTGTGTTAATTGCTGCTGGTTTTTCATGCGCTCACCCTCGAGCAGTTTGAGCTCAGCTTCCAAGCACAGCTCAGTTTAATGTGTAAAACCATGGGACGCTGGCACTGCCCAGGTTCCAGCCCGAGCAAAGGCAGCACAGGTGCAGAGTTGGAGCTGCTCTAGACTGCACACAAGGCTTTCTGGCACTGGCTCTAACCATTAATTGCCATGTTAAATCCAGCAATAAATTATTTGGGCAACCACACCGCAGGAGCCCACTGCCAGGAACAAACCAGAGCTGAGTGCTGCTCGGTCCCTTCATGCTCCAGGGCTGCAGGCTGGATCAGGCAGGGCACTCCCACACTCCCTGAGTGGGGGTTTTGGTGTCTCACTGACCTTCTGCATGTGGTTTAAGCCACTGTCCCTGTGAACAACGTTGCCAGTGCTGGAGGTGTGTATGGATCTGCATGTGTGTGTCCTCCTGGAGGATGGTGTGCGGCGTGCAGGATGCCTCAGGATAAGCCTCTCATCCTTTGCAAATTGGATTTTGTGGCTCACTTGCCTGTCCTCTTGGATGAAGTTTCCCCTTAGCTGCCTCTCCTCTAGCAGAGCTCGGGTTCTTCTCTAGACTGCAAAGCCTTTTATAATGCTCTGCAGATCAGGAGTCACTTGGAAGGGACAGGGACAGACTTTCCATTTCCCACTGAAACATGCTGCAGAGTGAGCCTGCTGCTTCCTTCCCTTGTGGAGTTCCCTTGGTTTGCAGGGCATTTGTGCTGGTTTGGTTTGGTGCCTTTCCTGCTGGCTTGGTGGCTCTGAGGTGCTCCTGGCTGGCAGCCCCCCAGTGATGGCTCCTGTCTTAGGAAGCCTCTGGGCCATGGGAATCGTTGTGATTTCATACTGGGGAGGAAATGGATTCCTCAGAGAAGGCCAGCTTCAAACAGAGCCACAGCTGGCTGATTTTAAACCATTTCAGCTGGGGATCAGAGGGTGCTGTGGGGTTTTACCCCCAAAGAAAACAAAGCAGGAAAATGCACCACGTTAGCATAAGTAGGATTTTCAGGGCTTGTAATAAGCCCCGTGTAATTCCTGAAAGGATGGTGTGTAAAACAGGATGATGGAGAGCTGAGCAGTTCCAGTTTGCTTGTAAGAATGTGCTGGTTTGAGTTTCATGCCCATTTCTGGGGGAGGGTGGTGGCCCTGGTGAGGGACAGTCACCACACTCCTTCCACAGCAAGCTCAGGAGCAGCACTGGCCTCTCCCTTGTGCCATTCTGTGCTGAGGTGAGCAGGACACCCTGCAGGGGCTGGGGAGGAGTAATCCTTGCCAGGGTTAATACTCAAATCTGTGCTGCTTGACTTTGGAGCAGGGGAGGGGAGTTAATGCTCCCAGAAGAGACCACCTACTCTTGGGTGCAGACTGCCAACAGCTGACAGATGGAAGTGATTTTGGGACAGTGAGAAGGCAGTGTGGAATCACAGTGGTGACCAAGAGCAGACTCTGCATCCCACAGCCTTTGACTTACACCCACCCCTTGTGACTCTTGCTGTGGAGAAGGGCAATTTCCCAGAGCCACCGGAATTCCTCTGTGGGGTGGGAATTAGCAGTGGGTCGATGGTTTGCTGTCTCTTGTGGTTCAGTCTAATAGACACAGCTCCTCTGAAGATGCTTTTTGGCAAGGCTGTAGGATGTGAGCAGTGGAGCTCTGACTGGAGAGCAGCACTGAGGTGAAGCAGAGCAGTGATTCCATGTGCTGACCCCTGTGCTCTGTGTGCTGCCCCTGACCACAGCTGTCACCCACCTTGGTGTGAGAGCTGTGCCAGCCCTGCCCTTGCCCTGCCCCTGTTTGGTGTTTGCCTAAGTGTTCCCTGTCTGTTTTTTGTCTTGCAGCATCTGGAGGGGCCCAAACGTGAACTGTGTTGACAGCACTGGGTACACCCCGCTGCACCACGCTGCTCTGAACGGCCACAAGTGAGTCCTGTCCCCAAAACTGGGGTCACAGGGGGTGGATTTGTGCTTCCCTGGCCACAAGTGATTCCTGGGGTCACAGGGGGTGGATGCTTTGTGCTTTCCTGGCCATAACTGAGTCCTGTCCCCAAGCCTGGGGTGCCAGGGGTGAATGCTTTGTGCTTCCCTTGTGTGGGTCATTCACCAGCTGAGGCTCTGGTGCAGCACTACTCCATCTTCAGGGGAAGTGGAGAATGCCAGAGCTTTGGCTGCTGGCTGATGTTACATCTCCAGACGCTGAGGTTTTCAAGCCCTTTTATTTCTAAGCAATTTGGATGAGCTGTAACACGGTGTGAAAGGGGCTCCCCTGGTGACAGTCCCTGCAGTCTTCCTAGTGCCCAGGGTGGTCTGGGCTGCACCACTTTACAGTTTCCTCGTGTGCTTATCACATTTTTAGGTAATTTTAGTGTGGTTTATCTCGTGTTTCTCGTTGCTGCCTGAGATATTGAGAAATCAAATAGAGTTAAAATCTCTGTTCACCCTCGTTGTGCTGTGTTCAGCAGAGGCTTGTGGCTGACTTCAGCCCCTGTTCAGCTCCATTAGTATGGAGTTAATGTGGATCCTCCCTCAGCTCATCTCAGCATTATTTATTTCCTTTTTTTTTCATTTCCTTTGGCAGCATTTAATAGGAACACTTAAAAATCACGCGTCAAGAGGCTCTCTGAAACACTCCTGCTCAGATTCACTTTGTGTTCAGTCCTTGCTGCAGATGGGGGCTGTGAAACAGGGACTGAATGTCTCACTGCAGCTCCTGTCTCTTGCAGGGATGTTGTGGAGGTTCTGCTGAGGAACGACGCCCTCACCAACGTGGCAGACTGTAAGGGCTGTTACCCCCTGCACCTGGCAGCCTGGAAGGGAGATGCTGACATTGTGAAGCTCCTCATCCACCAGGGCCCTTCGCACACCAAAGTGAATGAGCAGGTCTGCCTGATTTTCTCTAATGTATCATTGAATCACTTCCCTGGCGTGGAGAGAGACTCCTGCAGCTGACTCCTGACCCTTCCCAAACCAGTAGCAGTGGTTGTAAGGTCCTACTTGCTGGTGGGATAGGAGGGGCACTGCCTAAAGCAGTACATTCAGTCTGAGTTAGTGGTAGGATGAAAAGATATTTAAGTTTCATAGACAGACACGTAATTGTGAGAACTGCTCAACACTTAGGAAGTGGTCTCCTGCTTCTGGGCTTCTAAAACTAACCCACAGTTTTCCTTTCAGCTGCTGGATAGCTGAGCAGGTTTCTAGTTCTGCAGAGGATCCATTGGCTCCCTCCTTTGGGAACTAATCCAAGCAGCTTTGTTCAGTCTCTTTGGCCGTGCTCTCTTAGCTGCTCTCCTGGCTTGTCTCTGGCACTTGCTCCAGTTCACTAATTTGTAAGTTCTAAGATAATTTTAACACTACTTGCCCCCAGATAAATCCCTAGCTTAATCTTAAAGAATTATTTTTGCAATCAGGCAAGAAAAAAAAAAGCCTCTTGGATTTGTTCCTTTTGTCAAGCTGACAGTTTTGGCCTGGGGTGCAGAGGGAGTGAGGGGTCCATGACAGCTGTGTCCACTGCAGAGGGCTGGCTCCTGTGGAACTGCCCATGGACATCAGAGGTATCTTAAATGCCAGGGAACTTCTGAAACGCTACTGCTGGAAGGCCCAAATATTCCTGTTGTTGCAGAGTTTTGTTTACAGGAGCTGGTTTCATGGATGAGCCAGCTGAGTGCTGTCACTGAGCTGCCCCTCCCCAGCACAGAGTGACAGCCCAGACCAGTGGCTAAAGCTGCAGTGGGCTGTGCTTGTCCTGTCCCTAAGGCAGGAACATCTGCTGACCCTGGGAATCAGCTCCTAAACCACTCAGATGTTCTTCCAGGAGGAAAGGAATAAACCAAAATAGGTTTGCCTGCCTTGGTGCCAGCAGGCTAAACCTGGATGTTCATTCCAGAGGCAATTCCCAGGTGGGTCAGACACCCCTGGCCTGAGTTCAGCACAGAGTCAGGGTGAGCAGCTGTGGAATCCCTTCTGTTGATTTGCTCCATGGTAGTTTTTCAGAAGCTGGGGAGCAAACTCCTTTCAGAGGCAGGTTTAGGAGTCCCAGTCCTCCTTTGTGGGGACCCAAGTGCCACACTGGAGTTTCCCAGGATGGGTAAATCAATGCACCAGGCTGCCCCAGGGATAACTGCTGCTAAAACATCGTGGAGTGAAAAATCTGGTTGTAGTGCAACTCTGTCATTCCTCCACTGAGCAGGAATAACAAGGAATGTGTGTTGTGATGTCTCTGGTGACAGTTCTCCAGTTTGGGGCTGTGTTAATCATGTCTCCAGGCACAGCTGCAGGCACTCAGTCTGATTACATGGGCTAGAGTGCAGGTTCCCCAGTCAGTCTGACCAGAACTGAGTGAGAGCCCACAGTGTAAGTGTTCTGCTCTGAGCAGGGCAGATAGAGGGGTGATCTTTGCCAAGACCCAGAGCTTAGTGTGATCCTTGCAGGTAATGTTTCATTAATGTCTGTTTGGTAGGAACCCTGTTAAATGAGAGCAGCCAGCTGAGGAGCCTGTGCTTGGAGCCTGGTCCAGGTGACAGCAGTCCCAGCTGGAATGGCTTCTGACTGGAACAAGATGCTGTGTCCTGCCATTCCACCCCTTGGAGTCACCCATTGCTTTGTTGCTGTATCTCACCCATTTCATTATCACATTTTTTTCTTTTTCCTCTTCCTTTTTGTAGAATGCTCTTGAGATCAAAGAACTCAAAAAGTACGGCCCCTTTGACCCATATATCAATGCCAAGGTGTGTACTTTGCTGTCAGCATTTCACTGCATCATCACTCCAGGCTGCACTCGCGTGCTTCCAGGTGCAACAATACCTGTTCACTTTGCAGCTGCTTGGGGAAAAGGAAATTGGGACCATTGATTTACTGTGGGTTTCTCTCTTCAAAGCAGTTATAGAAACATAATTAAAGGAAAGCTTTTCCTTACTTTCCTGGGGGCTCCTTCCTTGCTTAGCCTTGTAGGACTCCAGTGATGGTCAGTTTGCTTGATTGGGCTGGATGACTTCCCAAAGGTAATGTTACCTCAATTTAATGTTCTAGGTTTTGTTTCATGTGCTGGTGTTGCTGATAAATGCAAAGAGAAGGAATTTTTTCCCCCTGCTTAACCATGGTTGCATTTTCTCTGTGGGCTGTTTGGAGTGAATTTTGATGCCTTTTCTCCTACCAAATGCATAATGCTCTGTGTTGTTTGAATGCACAGTTAATTCCTGTGGTGGTGGTGGTGGTGGGGAGAAGGGAGGGCAGTGATGTTCCTGCCTCCCTTCCCAAGTCCTCCATGTCCTGTTTATTACATCAGTCTCTCTTTTATGTTCAGTCTGTGGTGTTGTTTGACCCTCCAGCCCTGGTCTCCTGTTCCTGTTTTCTGGCCTGTTTTGCTCCTCTCTTCTTTTCAGTTTTGAGCTACAAAAGACACAACATCAGCTTGTGCAATGAGCTGAGGCTGAGCTGTTGAAGAAGCTTCCTATCCAGTATTGGGATGTTGAAGATCAAATTCCTGGTGGTGGTTTCTCAGACACCATTTTTCAGTTTTATTTCTAGTGATTCTACAAGCCAGGGGTGGCAAACAGTCTGTTGCTCTGTCCTGAGACACCTCAGCCATGAGCCACCATGCCACAGCTGCTTCCAGCCACTTATTTTGGATCCAGCCATCCATGGCAGATTTCTGTCTGTCAGAATTTCCCTCTGCTTGGTCTGCAGGAGCTTAGGAACACACAGCCAGAGCTCCTGTGCTTGCTGGGAGTTAGGTGTGGTTCAGGGTCACCGAACACAAATGTGTTCTTGTAAAGCTCATCTGAATTTGGGGTTTTTGCAAAAATCCAGATAGGAATTTTATGCCTGTAAGTATTCTTTGGAAACATCATGGTAGAGGAGTTCAGTTGCCTGAAAGGAGCTTCCTAAAACATTGTCAATAACCAAGTAAAATCTTACACACTCCAGTGTTGGGATGTTGAGTGAAGAAGGAATGTAAAGAGGGAATATTCAATACCGGCAGTTTGTTTAACCCTTCAGATCTTTGCAGGTCAGAAAACTTTCCCTTTTTCAAAGCAAGTCTCCCTGTGCTCAGTCAGAGCTGCGTGTTGGGAGCAGGGGGTGCAGAGCAGACACAGCACTTGAGGGGGCTGTGGATTCTCCACTTGAGCACGGGATGAGGAGCAGCAGGGCTGTGTGTGGTGAGTGCCATCACATCAGCAGGGCTTGGAACCTGTGCTGGAGCCCATAAGAAAGCAGAGCCATCCCTGCTCGTGCCCTGTTTGTGCTCTGCAGGCAGGCATTGCTCCCAGCTCCTCTCTTCCAGCTGAGAGCTGGGGGGTGCAAGGATTCCTGCAGGAATGCAGCCCCTCAGCCCTCCTGAGTGCTTTATTTTTCTAAGTAGTTCTGAAATTTGAAGCCACGTGCCTTCTGGCAGCTGGAATGGAATTTTCCTTTTCCATCTCTGATACATCTGTAGGTTTGAGCACTCCTGCTCACTGCTCTGGTTTGTGCCTGGAGAGGTGAGGCAGGAAGGGAGCAAACTCCCTTGCCTGGAAGAACTGGAGTATTTTTGGCTGCTCAAAACTCTCCCAAAATGGAGGCAATAAAGACTCAGGCAATAGTGGGAGTTTCCACTGCACAATCTGGAATTGGGAGAGACTTGCTGTGATGATTCAGGGGAGTTTATTTGCCTGGTGATCTCTGGAGGAAAGTCTGGGGATTTTTTTCTCAAGCACTGGAGCCCCAATCTGCTTAGGGAAAATTGGACTGAATTGTAGGGAAGACGAGGGAAGTCTCCAACAATTATGTTTTTAAACGATGTTGTGTTCCCATTTCTGAGCCCTCAGGCAGATGCTTGGAACTGCTGCATGCTTTAAAGCCCCCTGGGGCTGGGGAGAAGGGAGAGGGGGGCAGTCCCAGCCAGGGAAATGCCCAGCAGCCAGGGCTGGCACGAGCAGCGTGTGCCCCCACAGCTCTGGGGCAGGGACCCGCTGCTCAGAGGGGCTGGGGTCTTTCCACAAAGCCTAGCAGAGAGGATCCCTCGTGCCACAGGGCAGGCTGAGAGCCTGGCCCAGCTGTGTGGGCTCCCTGATCCCTGCACTCCCACCCCATCAAAGGGGAATAATGGGATTTGCCAGCCCTGTAAATGCCCGAGGGCAGCAGTGTGAGCTGAGGGCAGGTGTGAGCTCTGATGTTCTCTACTCTGTCCCCTCTCACTCCCTTTGTACATTTTTTGTGCAGATTTCTGTATCCTGCAGTACCCCTGTCCACGTGTCTGTGCCTCCCCCCAGGATGGAGCCTGTTTGCCTTGGCCCTTCTGTGCTGGCAGTGATGCTGTGCCCCCTGTGCCCCCTGCCCTGCACGTGCCTGGTTCTGCTCCTTCCCTTCCCTGCCCTGCAAGCTGCAGCTGCCAGAGCCTCTCCCAGCTCCTGCTCCCTTTGCTTGGCCTGTGCTGAGAGGTGATGCAAAAGCCAGACACAAACAGGACTCCTGAGGGTGACTGAGCACCTCAGCAGGATCCGAGTGCTCGTGCAGCCTCACGAGTTTGTGACATGGTGCAAAATACTGAGCAGTGTCCCGAGGCCTGTGTGTGCTCTCACAGCAGGCAGGGATCAAATTCCCTTCTGCAGTGGTGCTGCTGCCTCCAGCAGGACAAGAACATTCTGTTTATTTTATTGGAAATTGTTAAAATGGCAAACTCAACCACGAGTCTTTCAATTGAAGTGTGGAACTGTTTGTGTTAAACTTTTTTTGGGGTTATATTGTCAGATAGTTGTTTCTAAAGGGCTTAAACCAGAATCCCTTTGTGGATGACACACAGAAACTTGAGAGGAACTTAATTTGAGAAAAGGTTCTGTTAGACCTGGCCATGTTCCTGTTTTGCACCTACACATGTGGGGTGTCGGACTGCTCATTTTTGGGCTTTGCATTGCTGGTTCTTGGCCTGGCTGCTGCTGCACGCTCTGGTTTGGGTCTGGCTTCCATCTGGGGGTGCTCCCTTGTCCCTGAGACATTGCTTGCCTCAGCTGACCTGAGCCTGGCTGGTTCCTGCAGTGGTGGAATTGCACGGTTCTCTGGTTCACAAACTGCATGGGGCTGGGTGCACCCTGTCTCTAAACAGCCAGAATTGCAGAGGTGGAATGACTTTATAACCAGGATAAGTAGGATTTGAAACAATTGAATTTTAAATCTAAAATTATGATGATAATGAAGTTCCAGCAAATAGAATTCACACAACAGGTTGCCTGCCTTTTATTTTTGTGGCACCCTGAAGTGTGGGATGCTGCCAAGACACCAGACTGCCTTTCCCAGGTGCCAGCAGCATTAATGGGAACCTGGACACAGCTGAACATCCCTTAAACTTTAGGATCCTGCCCCTGGTGCTTGGAAAGCAGGCTGGTCCATCTCTAGCCCCTCTTTCCCACAGCTGAAGTGCCTTGTTCTGGACATCCCTGAGGCTGTGGCAGTGAGCTTGTGAGGGGACACTAAACACCCAGGGAGATGGTGACACATTGCTCAGGCTGCTTCAGACTGGGCTCTCTGCTTCCCCACTGCTTTTTTTTTTTGTCTCGATTTTGGATTTAAAGATTGGAGCAGGGCGCTGCCCCAGCCCTGACGCGCTGCCCCTTGTGCCCCGCAGAACAACGACAACGAGACGGCGCTGCACTGCGCGGCCCAGCACGGCCACACCGAGGTGGTGAAGGTGCTGCTGGAGGAGCTCACCGACCCCACCATGCGCAACAACAAATTCGAGACCCCCCTGGACCTGGCGGCGCTCTACGGGAGGCTGGAAGTGGTCAAGATGCTCCTGAACGCCCACCCCAACCTGCTGAGCTGCAACACCAAGAAACACACTCCGCTGCACCTGGCAGCCAGGAACGGGCACAAGGCGGTGGTGCACGTGCTCCTGGATGCTGGCATGGACAGCAACTACCAGGTACCTGCTGTGGTGGTGTTTGCAGGGGTTTCAGATGAGGGAAGAAATGAGAATGTTGACTCCATGTTTATTATTTTATGATATATATTATATTAGAACTATACTAAAAGAATAGAAGAAAGGATTTAATCACAAGGCTAGCTAAGAATAGAACAAGAATGATAACAAAATCTTGTGACTGACTGAGACAGTCCAAACAGCTGGACTGTGATTGGCCATTATTTAGAAACAACCACATGAGACCAATCACAGATGCACCTGTTGCATCCCACAGCAGCAGATAATAATTGTTTACATTTTGTTCCTGAGGCCTCTCAGCTTCTCAGGAGAAAAAAATCCTAAGGAAAGGATTTTTTATAAAACATGTCTGTGACAATCTGGTGTGTCTGAGTGGGGCCAGGCTGATGGCTGGGGATTGGAGAACTCCACCAACCCTCGTTGCAGAAGCTGAGGAGACCTTTGTGTTGTGCTGGGCTGTCTGTGCAGCTCTGGGGTGCTGGGGGAGGCTGCCTGGAGGGGCTGGGGTGCTGTGCATGCCTCACGCCTGCGCAGAGCCCCAGACACAGAGAGGGACACAAACACCCCGTGGCCAAAGCTGTTCTGCCCTGCAGTGCTGCGAGCTCTTGATAGGCAAACGTGTCTCTTCCTATCAAGCCACTTGTGAATGTGCTGTTTTCACAGCAATGGCTTGTACGTGGGTCTTGTTTTTCCTTGTCAGGACAGGACTTCTTGCTGAGCTGTAGGAGGCCCTTTCTTGGTGTCTCTGATGGAGCCATCCCCATTTTTCCGTCCCACATCCTCGGCATTGTAATAACATTGACAGTCTGTCCTCAGCCATAGGTAGTGCTGCCCACAGCTCGTGTACAAGGCCGTGTATTTATTGCTTCTGTAACCCTCTAAGCCATGCTCCCTCACCATTCCCTGCTGTCTGGCTTCATGCTATGTTTCCATTTAATTTGCAGACTGAGAAAGGCAGTGCTTTGCACGAAGCTGCTTTGTTTGGCAAGACAGATGTGGTACAAATATTGCTGGCTGCAGGTGAGAGAATGTTCCCCCTTTGAAGCACTAATGTGGTGATCCCTTCACCCAGAGCTTGAGGAAATCCCTTTCTGTGCAGCAGGTTTCTCCATCCAGCTGTCAGAGCTCCTTGGAGCAGGATGTAGGAGAGGTTGGCTCTTGGTTGGCTTTAGATTTGTCTCTAGAGTGCCTCTTAGCTCCCCCCAGTGCTGATCACAAATGTGACTCGATGAAATACATGAACCTGTGCATAGTTAGACAATATTCTTGCTTTTGCCCTCTGTACCCCTGTGGCCACAGGTATTGATGTGAACATAAAGGATAACAGAGGCCTGACTGCTCTGGACATTGTGAGGGAGCTTCCTTCCCAGAAAAGCCAGCACATAGCAGCTCTCATTGAAGGTGGGTAATGCAGCTCTGCCTCTGGGGAAGAGGGGAAAGCTTGGGGTGCTGATTCTGCCAAGGCAGGTACAGGATGTGCTTTTCTGGATCTGGAGAGTGCTGAAATCAAAGCAGTTTCAGGCTGTGTTGGAAGAACCAGTGCTGATATGCTGGGGTGAGCTTCCCCAGACCAAATGTTTGGAGGAGGACTTGGGGGGGATTTAGGAGGATTAGCCCTTTGCTGAGAGAGTGTGGTGTGACTTTTACAGTTTAAATGGGCTTAATTGAGCTTTGTTTAGCTCACTTTAGAAGTTAATTAAAATTAAGGATAGCCTAAATCTGCTTGCAGAATGCAAAGTAACAGCTTTAGAAAGGGTTCTGGTGTAACTCCCCTTGACGTGTCTGTGTAGGCAAATCACTGTCCACAGATCTCACATCCTGCTCCTCGCCTCGTCGTCAGGCTTGGGCATGGAATTTGCAGATGAGATTTACAGAAAAGGCCTTGATTACTTGTGTTTTATAAAGGAGCTTGGTCCATTGTGTCTGTCCAAATTCGGGAATGAAATGTGACATCTTGGCTAAATTCATACCTTGTAATTACGCTGTCTGCATTTCCTCTCAGCTGTGGGGAGGATCAGAAGCATTTGGAGCTGGGCTGTGTTATTCATGCTGAGCATTTGGGAGCTTTGCAGGTTCAAAGCATTTCTCAGACTTTTAACTAAGCTGTGCCTGTGAGGCTGGAATGTTTGAGCTTTATTCTGAAACTGAAGACAAAGATGGGCTTTAAAACTGAAGGTGTTGCAGATGAAGGCTGTTAGTTTTCCCCAGGAGGGAGCTGCTGTTGGATGTTACATCAGCTGAATGTTTCTGGCTTTGTCTGTGGTTGGGGGCTGCAGCTGGAATTGGTTTCTCTTGTAGTGACTCTGTTCAGTGATGGAGTTTGTGTCTACAACACGAATTTGCTCCGTGACTCTGTGTCCGTGCAGCAGCTTTGCAGCTTTCTGATTAAAGACTCTGAAAGTTCAAAGTGCCATCCCTCCCCTTGTGCCTGTGATTAAAGAGACTGCCTGCTTCTATTTTGGGATCTGAGCTGCAAGTTTTAATGTTATTTTTTTTTTGGACACTTAATAAGCTGACAGTTGGCCTTCCACCCACGAGGGAGGAAGCGCCATGTGCTGAAGGGGACAGAAAGCCAGATGGATGTGAGCTGACCCTGTCCCCCCAACCCCCTTGCAGATTACACCGTTGGGAAGAAAAGTGCCAAAGCTGTGGAGAAATCTGCTCCAGCCCCGCTCGCTGCAGCCACCGATCCCCCGGGCCGGACGTCTCAGGGTGGGCATCACCAGCATTCCCCTCCCTGCCAGCACCGAGCCAGGACATGCAGGGACAATGCCATCTCTCCTTCCCCCTGCAGGTGATGTGGACAAAGCTGTGACAGAGCTGATCATGGATTTTGATGTGAACCCCGAGGAGGAGAGCCCCTACGAGGCTCTGTACAACGCCACGTCCTGCCACTCCCTGGACAGCCTGGCCAGCGGGAGATCGTCCGACCGCGAGTCTGGGAACAAGGAGGCTGAGCCCAGCGGCCTCAAGGCAGCTGCAGTCAGGCCTGTATGTACCTGTAGGTGCTTGCCCCAGAGGCACAGGGGGCTGACCTGTTCTGCAGCAGGCTGCCCAAGCTTGAGGAAATGTTTAAATCCTTCCCTGACGTTGATGAGAGCAGGCTGGTGTCTCCCCTTCCCTACCCTGCTCACAGGGATTGCCTAAAAGCAGAAAAGCAGCCACTTCTTCATTTCACTTTGTGTTGCATCCTTCTGTTTTCTGGCAATGCGCTGTTGCCAGTGAAACTTGGTCTGTCAGGGGATTGTATTTTGCAGAAGGGCTGACTCCTTGTCCTGAAAAAAGTTCTGGAGGCTTGTGTGGAGCATCTTCTTATGGCTCACTGCTTTACCACAGCTGAGGCTCTCTGGAAATTATCTGTAATAACCTCTTGGAAGCTAGTTGGCAGTGGAAGGGTCTTTTTTTTGTGTATTACTTGCAGAGCTCTGTAGAGGGTACTCCAGGCTTTACAAAGCAGCACAGAGCTCCTGAAACTGTCCCCAGAGAAGTCTTCCTCACCTTCTGTCAGCTGCATCTGCTGCCCTGGTAGCAATCAGCAGGAAGGCTGCTGTGGGGCAGACGGGACACGGGCCCTGCAGTGCTGGGTCAGCTTCAGGCTCTGTGTTCTGGTTGGTTTTCCAAAGGCTGCTCTGTGGAGGTGTTTTCGGACAAAAGGCAGAGCAGCAGTGAACAATTAAACTGCTGGGGACACAGTAACCATGGTTTCCCCTCTGTGCAGAGAGGTGCAGCCTTTGGCTTGTGCTGAGAGCAACAGAATAGAAATGAGACATAAGCTTTGGATGGGGGACATTTTGGGCAGATCTCTCAGGTGTGCAGTACCAGGCTGTCCTGTTACTGATCAGATCTTGTCATTGTCCTGTGCTGATGGTGTCTGGTGTGAAATGAGCTCAGTTCTAGCACAAGTAAGGGAAGAGGAGAGCTGAACTGCAGTGAAGAGAGCAGGAAGAGGGACACGCTCCAGTAGCTGGCTGAGTGTGAGCCGTGCAGCTCTGCTGCTCCCTTGGCCATTAGATGGAGCTGTGGCTGGGCAGGAGGTGCCCCGGGAGCAGCTCCAGCTGCCCGGTTGCAATCCCGGGATATCAGAGGAGAGCAGTGCAGCTTAGTTTCTTGATCCCTAGAGTTTTCCACTATCAAAGGTGCCCTGGCATAAGTTTCACTAAGCCACAAGCCCTTTCTTCTGATCAGCTCGTTGCTCCCTGCCCTGTGTAATGCTGTGGAGATGCAGGCTTGGATCTGAGTGAGACTGATGGGACAGGATCAGTGTCCTGAGGAAGAGGAGGAGAGAAGGCAGCAGCCATTGCCCAGCTCTGGGCTGTTAGGGCTGAACTTCTCCTCCACCCAGATTAATTTGAAGAGATCCTTGCTGCACCCCCAGCAGTGGGGGCAGAAGGGAGAGCTGACAGTGTCTGTCTCACCTGCAGAGAGAACGCCCTCCCCCGCCAGCCAAGCCCCCGCCTGATGAAGAGGAGGAGCAGAATGTGGAGAAGAAGACAAGCCACAGTGCTCCCTGTGAGGTACATGGGGCTTGCTCTGGGATGTTTCATGGGAGAGTGGTTTAAACATCAGTTTTAATAGTTTGGGAGGAGCCAAGGGTGCTGCTACCTCCTGTGCTCGTTGGGCTGTGGATTGAAGCATTCCCTCACTCAGCACTGCTGCTGTCCCTTACCATGGGAACTTCCTTTGTCCGCTTCTTCCAGGGCACCTCAGAGTTGACCTTCAGCCTTACTTTCCTATTCTTGGCTGAGAATTCCCTTAGGGAGAGATTTTTCTGACCCACGTTGTGATGTGGACCATTGCCCTCCAGTAATGATCCCACCACAGGCATCTTCAGTTGGACTGAAGCACAGAGGGGTGTGAGCTGCTGCTTCCTCTGAGCTCCCAGCTGTGGAGGAGCTGCACGGGCTTGTGGGTCCCACCGACATGAGCAGGGATCAGGGGCTTGAATTGAGCTGAGGATGTGGCCCAGCTCGTGTTAAAGCTGCCTTCTGCAGGGGTCAGTGGTGTGAGCTGCTTTCTGATGGAACTCAAGCTCTCCCATTTCATTTTGTTGCTGCTGGGATTTCCTGTTGCTCACCTTATTCACCTGCTGTGAAGCTCAGATGTAAGGACTCCCCAGGAGACATGGTTGTGGGAAACCACAAGTGTGCCTTGGCACCTTCTGCTGACACCCAGGAAAACCTTCAAAGCAAATCCAAATCCTGTGGATTTCTGTGCTCTCCCAAAGGCAGTGGGCTGTGTGTGAAGCTCGTGGAGCGTGTGCCACCTCTGCTGTCAGAGCAGGCTCTGGTTCTGCAGGTGCTTTCTTTGGGTGTGCTGATCTGCTGGAGTTCTGCAAGGCATAAATGAGCTCTGTTTTCTGGAGAGTGTCAAATCCACGTGAGACATGGGTGAACATGGCCTGCTGTAGTAGAACTGACTGCAGAGAGGGAGTAAACTCTGAGCTGTGTGTGAGCAGGGAAACTGGAATGTGACATTGTGCGCTGGTCAAATGCAGGGGGTGGTAACCAGTCCTGTGCCTGGCTCTGGCAGAGGAGAGCTGGGCAGCAGGTCATGGAATAATTGGGAAGCAGAACTTGTTTATGACAATAAACACGGGGAGGGAAACGTGCCCTGACCATTCCTGCTGAGCTTTCTGGCCATGTTTAATTACCAAACACCTGCTGCGTTGTCCTGCTTTGGAAGCACAATCCATTAAAAGGAATCTTGCTGGCAAAGGGCAGAGTGACTCGCTGGAGAGACCTTGATTTGTGACCAACTTCAGTGACAAAACTTACAGGCAGCATGTGGCTGCATGGAAATGACCCTTGGGACATACTGATGAGGAGTTTGGGGCCGATCCTTTTACTTTGTTTGTTCTTCCTGGCCTGCTCTGCTTTCTGACTCTTGCCCATCTTTTCTCACCTCTCCCTGGGCCAGGCAGGTGTGCACATGCTCCAGGAATGCTGGAAACGTTCTGCTGCAGCATCCCAATCTGCCACCCTCTAGCCCTGCTCTCCCATTGGAGCCAGGACGTTTAGTCATTGAGTATTCTGGGGTTGGGCCAAACTCCAGTTTTCCAAAGTAGTCTTTTTATTCCTTGCCAAGCTGGGGCTATCACTCAAAGCAGATGAGCGTAAACAAGAAACTTCACTTTCATCGCGGAAAAGCGTTGGTACAAACAGGCAAAGGAGCTGATTGTTTGGAGGTGCTTGAGTGGTGCCTTTCACTATCTGCAGAAACCTTCTGGGTTTGGAGCTGAGTAAGAGTCTGCACTGTCAAATTAAACTTCAGTTCCAGTTGTTTACTGCTTGTCTCCAGAAGGGAAGTGCAGATCAAGGACGAGGCGCCGCGTTGGCTCCACGATCTTGGTCTGCAGCTCTGGGGAGGGAGAGGAGAAAAAGAGATGAGTTACCCTTTAAAAAGTCTTTCAAACTCCTCTGCTGTGGATTAAGTACACCTTAAAGGGCATCCTCATTATTCACAGCATCTTGGTTTTGGGCTTTGCTAGCAATGAACGTTTTTACATGCAAACAACGTGGTGAAGAACTAAAAGCTGAATTGGAAGAAAGCTTTACTTGATGGTGCTGCTCCTGGTCACAAAGCCCACAGGGCAGGCAGGGCTCTCCAGCAATGGTCTTTGTTTTGAGTGAATTTGAACCTAGAACACTGTTTAGAGCTTGGAAGGATGAGAGGTGGAGATCAAGTGTCACCAGGCCTGTGAAAGTTCAGAGTAGAAGCTGGGAACTCTGTGCTGCTGGAGAGCTTCTGCCTTTGCTGCATTTAAAGAGGGCAGCACAGGAATCATCATCCACAGGAATGTCAGGAGAGCACAGGGCCTGGCTGAAGGTCCAGGCTGCTGCTGTGCTAACAGGCTGCTGCTGGGCAGGATTTTTACAAGATCACTGTCAAGAACCTCTCACCTGCTGTTCTGGTCTGACGGTTTTGTGCCACCATCTGGTCAGAATTTTTCCCTAATTTGCTCATTATGAGCTCCTTCACCTGGAAAGGAGCAGGTCTGCCTGGCAGCTCTTGCTCAAAGCTGGTAGAATAAATAAATATTTCCCATGCCAGACATGGCCCATTTCCTCCCATTGGGAAAGTCACATTAAAAGCCAGGTTGGTTTGTGCAGAACAGCACATGGATGTCAGAATCCTCTGTGCTGCTGACTCTTGGGTGCCTCTCCAAGACTCCTGGCTGGATTGCAGTCAGGTAGGCACCAGTTTGCCCTTGGAGCAGCTCTGGTGCTCTCATTTTGGGGAGAAGCAGGAGCTGTGCTCTGCTGGTGAGGCAGTGGCAGGTCCAGGGATCTGAGCAGTAGGAGCCTTCCCTGGGGGCACATTTTGTTCAGATCTGCTGTTCCCTGTCCTGGCAGCAGGTAGGGATTGTTTGCTTTCTGCCTTGGGTTTGTCCCACTGTGGTTGGGGACAGTCACGCGCGGGGTCACAGAGTGGCTTGGGCTGGAAGGGACCTTAAAGATCATCCAGTCCCAAGCCCTTGTCATGGGCTGGGACACCTTCCACTCAACCAGGTTGCTCCAAGCCCCATCCAGCCTGGCCTTGAACGCTTCCAGGGCATTCACAATTTTCTCTCTCTCCATGCCCCTCCCCAGCTCTCTTAGAGCCTCTTAGGGTGCATTCCTGGTCATGTTGAGCTCCTGGGACAGGAGTTGCATCAATCTGCCAGGGTCTGGCCAGGAGATGGTGCTGAAAGGCAGCTGACTGTGCTGGCAGGGTGCCCCGTGGCCAGTTTAGCCCCTTCAGCACTGGGATGGCACACGAGGGTGTCCAGTGCATCCTTGGCACTGATACAGACCAGCACGTGTGAGTACAGCACGACTTGTGTGGATCCTGCACCAAAACCTCAGCCCTGCACATGGCTGGTGGCTTTCCACAACAGCTCAGGGAGAGTCTGCCAGGGTTACAAACCAGCTCTAAGTAGAGGCTTTGGGGGATTTAAATGAGCACAGTCACTGCTGCACATCCTGAAGTTAAACTGAGTTCATACGGTGCTGCCTGAGGACTCTTTAGCTCTGAATATGCCATACATCCTGAGGTCACAAATGCAGATCTCAGATGTCTGAGAGGGTGGCAGGGATTTGGGCTTTTGTTCTTTTCAGCCCTGTCCTAATAGGGCCGGCAGCTAAAAAGTGAATGACTGTGCAAATTCCAATGGCAGCAGCGAGTCTGAGATGGGATGAACAGGAATAACGGCCTCAGCTCTTTTCTCCCTCCAGGCTGTCTGCAGCCCTTGCTCAGTTGGTCAGTGCTGGAAAGCTGTCAGCAGCCAGAAATACTAAAAATTAAAGGGTTTTGGGTGGGTTTTTTTTGAGGGGGTTAAAAAAACCCAGAGGGGAGTATTACGTTTTGGCTCACACTCCACAGTGAAGGTGTTGCCTCTGCCAATTCTTTGCTTAACCCCTGGCATAGAGGCTGTGGGGTTTATGCTGGGACAAAGCATTGCTTTGCAGAGCACCACATTGTGCTGTTCTTCATCAGGCCTCTGCTGCCCGGGGGAAGAGCAGGGGAAGTGGAGCTGAGGAAGAGGAACACCCCTACGAGCTGCTGCTTACAGCAGAAACTAAAAAGCCGGTTGCAGTGGACAGGAAAACAAAAGGTGAGTGACCATCCAAAAAGCAGAGCTGTTTGCTTGCATGTGCTTCAGGAAGACACGAGGGCAGAGGGCAAGTGGAACAATGAAAGTCTCTGCAGGGTGGGGGCTGGAGGGTGATTGTTGTGTTTCCTGGTAATCTCAGTGTGAAGGAGAGCTCTGAGCGTTCCTGTACAGAGTGTACACAGAGGAAGGGCAGCTCCGCTGTAGGACGGTTCAGAGATTGCAAGGATCTGCTCTGTGACCTCAGAAATGCCCAAATCTCATGCCTGGCCAAGCAAAGGCAGAGGGTGAGAGGCTGGAGGCTGTGCCTCTGCCAGGGATGATGAGCAACACGAGTGTTCCAGTGAGCCGTGTTCTCCATCCAGCTGGCGCTGCAGGTTTCTGCTGTCCTGCTGTAAAATCAACATCCTGCTCTGTGCTAGAGCTAATTTGAGATGGAAACTAACAGGAGGAAAACAGAAATGTGTAGAGCAAGAGCTAGAACTGGCTGAGAGCATGGAGTACACAGGTTGATATTGAGGCAGTTTCTCCTCACCTTGAAGGACCTCTGAGCTTTACAAAGCATCTGGGAACACCTCGTCTCTTGTGTTTAGCTGTTGTTGGCTTTTTGGCTTTCCTTCAACAATAACAACAAAAGATTTGTTTAGAGGGGAAAGATTTCCGCTTTATTCAGAAGTCCTGAGCAGGAATTTGGGTGGATTTAGTTTAGGTTCTCACACTGGAGCCCCTCTGCCTCTGAGGATGGACAGGGCTAGCAAGGACTTGAGGTGATGCCTCACTGAGTGCTTTGTCAGACCTGCAGCATGATGACCTCTCATTGCTCAGGTCCTGCTGCTCTCCTGGCTGCTCCAGGGTGGCACAGGAGGTCATTGTGTTCCCACCAGCACTTGCCAAAGCCCCTCACTGCCAGAGGCAAGCGTTGAGAGCTTTTCAGGTTGGTGCTTTCAGTCTGGGCCAGGAACAGTCCTTGGGCAACAGCCACTGAGGGCTTTCAGGCTTTCATCAGTGGGCAGCTATTGCTGGTTATCCCAACTGCTCCACTCCTTCCCCTGGCTGCACTGCCCAGGCTTGATTGGTGAGAGTGGAGGTATGTCCTAATTCTGTGTCAGCTTAAAATAAAACCTCAGAGTAAGGCAGCTGCCTGTTCCTTATGCAGATCTCTTCCCTTAAACTCCTGAAGACAGGAGAGGTTGCAGGAAGATCTTTATGGGTCCTTTTATGGATCCAGAGCAGAGTCCCATCTTTTGATGCACAGTTGGAAAGATCAAAGCTGTGACTTCATGGTTTGCACTCCACAGAAAGTGTTGGTAACAAGCCTGGAACCCTTCCCGCTGTTACAGTGGGAGAAATCCAGGGATGCAGTTGAGTTTTTCCTCATCTTCCCTGTCTTTCCCATTCTATAAATGCAGTCAGCACTGTGGCTGATGGTGGGGGGAGAAGATAAATTTAAGGAGTGGTAGAATTAAGCAAGAATTGAGGGAGAGACCAAAACCTTACTTGGGGTGTTGGAGAATTTTCCCACCTCTGGGTCAGAAGAGTCCTGGAGCATCAAAGGCAGCAGCAGCTCAATCCCAAGGCACAGAGCAGGCTGGAGCATGGCTTTGAACTGCTCCTTGGCTCTCAGACTGAGGGCCTGGCCTTGTGCATGAGTTCTGGAGCAGCCTTTGGTCAGGAGAGGAGGGCTTGGGTTCCTGTGGCTGTTGAAAGGGCGTTTCAGGGCAGCAGGAAGGCTGAATTTCAGGCATGTGGGTTTAATGGTGCCTTTCATCTGTGATAGCTGCCTTTGTTCCTCTGGCTGCCAGTTGTCCTGTGTCCAGCCAGCAGATGAATGTGGCATTATCCACTGGCTTTGGTGGCCTTTGTGTGTGTTAGGGTGGCTTGCTGTCACGTGCTGGAGCACTGGGAGAGGTTGGCCTCATGTTTTGGGCAGAGTATCAGAAGTGCTTTGAGCCAAATGCTCTCCCATCCACTTTGGTGTGCAGTCACATGCCTGAAGTCAGGGCACTCAGGCCCTCTAACAGGGTGTGAAATTAAAGCAAAAGAGGAGGAATGTGTGTGGAGTGACCAGGAGGTTTCTCAGCTCCTGATGCCTTCAGAGAGACCTAATGGAGGGTGAAAAGATTTGAGTTTTGAGCTGTTTGGCTTCTCAGGAGTCACACCCAGGTGTTGTCAGCAGTGACCAGCTGCAGGTAGGACTCACTTGGTGCTTCCTGGTAGTTATCACAAACTGATACTTGTTGAGGTAGTTCTGTGCTGCTTCCATAGGAGGTCCAGCTTGAAGTCCCCACTTTGCCCTTCCTCCTGTTAGAGATTTTCTGTGTGGTTGTGCTGGTTCAGCCAGCACAGTGTGACTGTGCTGCTAACCAGAGAGCTGGAATAAGCCAGCAATAAAGTCAGAACAGAGAGACTGAAAGAAACTCTTTTCTGAGAGCCAGAGTATGGCTGCTGAAATAACAGGGTGGATATTGCTTGGGGAGTTCTGTGGGGACACTTGGTTAATGCAGGAAAAGATTTGGGGACAGCCCACAGCCTACATGGTATTACCTTGGACAGAGGATAGACTTCTGTCCCATATCCCAGGTCCAGGCCTTTGTTTCTGCTCTCATGGTGTTGTGCAGAATCATATTAATGATCTCTCTAAGCAGGGCAGTGTCTCATTGCCCTTTCTGAAGAGCGGAGTACAAAACAGCACAAATTCAGGTGGGTAAAATCTGCTGCAATGGCTGAGCTTGGTGAGGTTAACACAGGAGTGTTTCATCCTCAGCTGGGCTCCACACGAGGTAGCTGGCTGTGAAATGGGGCTGTGTTTCAGTCCTGTTGTAGGTAAATGATATTTTTGCACCCCTCAAAGCCAGCTTCTTCCTCTGGCCTTCAGTTTCACAGGAGGGAGATTTGCCTGCTCCTCACTTGACAAATTCTGGCATGATGTAACGTGCGCAGCCTTTTCCATGTGCAGATCAGAGGCTGCTGTGTGCCCTCACTAATTTTAAGGTTGGGGAGCTTGAGCAGGCAGCAGCTGCAGGAACAGCTTCATTCTCCTAATCCAGGGTTGTGAGACAAATCCTGCTGTTGATACAGAGGGAAAGAAATCCAGTGGAGGCAGGGTGGTTACAGCTTAGCGTGGAGTGTTTAGGGAAGTGCTTCGTATCTGGAGAGCTCAGGCTGCTGGCAGGGAAGCTCTTGCTGGAATTCTCCCTGGGATGCAAACAGTCTGTACCCAGGAAGGGCTCCTGATCCCAGGAAGGGTTGGGAGCAGCCTCTCCTGTGGGTGAGACCTGCAGCAGGCTGAGGCTGAAAAAGGCAGGATCTGTCAAATGATCTGTGCTGGGGGGTAAAATCAGTGAAGGGAGAGAAATCCATGAAGGGAGCTGGGCAGGAGTCCCTGTGCTAGAGACCCTTCCTGAGTGTAACTCAATGAAACTGGAGGAGGATTCTTTCAGATCCCCTGGAAGGAGAGGCCTGGAGAGCCCTGCATGTTCCTGCTCCATGCACCTCAGTGACAAAAAGACTGAGAAGACTTTAGTTCTGTCTGCAGCTTTCAGGGCAGGCTCTGAAATGTCTCCTTCAAGATGTTTCTCATAATATCTGAGCCAGTGCTGTTGCCCTTGCTCCATCCCTTCCTTCCCTGGCAGCTGCCCTGTGTTTCAGAGTCCCACTTAGCTCACAGATGAGTGGGTGGCTGGGATTCCTGTCCAACAGGAGCCCTTTTGTGAGGTGCTGGAGCTGGATTTGGAGCACTTTGTTCTGGCTGGACTCAAGTGTTGCAGCACGTGGCACAAACTTTGGCCAGCTGCCTCTCTGCCTGCAGCAGAAATGTCACTAAAGGTTCAGCTGGGCATGGAAGAAATGGTTTCCAAGGAAGGGAAGAGGTTGGGAAGAAAAGCTACAAAAGTTTTTCTTTCCCCACAGGTTTATTGACTGTCCCATCACTGCTGTCTTGCTCACCTCTCTGTGGCTTTGCATTAGTACCAGTCTGTCCTGTGAATGCAGCACATCTGATCTGCTCTGAGGTTTGTCCTCTGAGGTTTCTCTCCAGCACTGGAGCTTCAGAGCTTTATGCAAAGTAGCTGGGTTTAGTCTGGCCTTGTAATCTGGGGTGCTGCTGCTGGTGCCTCTCAGGCAGCACTGGGACCTGCCTCCCCCTTGGCAGCTCCAGTCACAGAACTGGTGGTTTATGTGCCTGTGCAAGAGAGTCAACAACTACTTCACTGTCCTGGAATCTCTAACTCATAGGATCCAGGATGAGATAATCCCTCACATCACTTGATCCCAGTGAGGGCTGTGGCTGCTCCTGGCCTTCCTGTGCCTGTGGGAGGGACTCAGCATCCTCACCAGGCACGGGGTACCTGGCACCCCCACACAAAGGCAAATGACTCATTCAGCTCTTTCCTGCCCAGTTCTGGTGTGAGGACAGACCACAAATCCCAACCAGTATTGGTGTTTGAAAATCCCCTGGTCAGGCTTGGTGCTGGAAAGGAGAAAGGAAAAGAGAAAGGAAAGCTGGGAGCTGAGTTGACCTCTCTGTGCTGCTAACAGGTTACTTTTAGTTGGAGTAGAACTCACTGTTTTGCTCAGGAAAGGAGGGTTCTGCAGAGCAAGTGATTTCCTCTTCAGATCCAAACATCCTCCCTGCACTTCAGAGCCTCATTATCCGAGCGTTTCGCTGTATTGTTCCCTTGCAGCATCAATTTTTAGTTCTCAGTCTGAAGAGTTTCTTCAGCACTAAATGGAAGCAGTTAAAATTCACAAGCAATGCTGAGAGGGTGAAGGAATCCTAGGAAACCAAAGTTAGACTTGTTGGCTTGACAAAGTTTTTTGCTTCTGCAGTTGAAATGCTCGTTCAGCTGTGACAAAGGTGAGTGCATGTTTGTGTGTGTGTGTGTGCACCCAGCACTAGGGATCAGTCAATTCTTCATGGTTTATGCAGGACCCTGGTACCTGATATTAAGGTTGCTGGGGCAGGAGTAGCTGGGAACCAGTGTCACATTTCTGGGGCAGCCAGTGCTCCACCAGCTCTGGCCACTCTGTGCTCAGTTCATTGCAAAAGAGACTTTTTGCTCAAGCTTTTTTTTCCCTTGCATAAACTGTTTATTTCTCTCCCCTGAGCAGGGAGGAGAGGTTAAACTCGGAAGCCACTAGGGAGGGAAGCAGTGGGTTTTTTTGGGAGCGGATTTTGGAACTCTCAGGTCGGTTGCAGTCCAGGCGTTTTCCCACCCTGCAGCCCGTGCCAAGAGCCGGGTGAGCGGCTCTAAATAACGCTCTGGCCTTTATGGAAAGGGATCAGATGTTCCAGGAGCCTCCGTCTCTGCTGCTCCCACCTCACTTGCTCTCTCTGCAGGATATAGTTAGCACTTCTCTTGGCCTTATATAGCAAGGCCTGATAGTTAGTGTTAACAGGAATAAAAAACACGGAGAGCTGCCAGATTGCGTAAATCGGGCCAGTGTTTGGAATTTCATAAATGCCATGACTTTGGGTACAAGTTGAGCACGCGGAACAATACGGAACTGTTCTCTCTTTAGATCTCTCCCTCCCTTGCTGAGGGAGAGAGCTGGAATTTTGCTGCTGCTTCCATGTTTTTAATTTCCCCCTCCTCTCTGCTTTCATCCCCTTGAAGACCACAGGAGGAGCAGCGGCGGCCGCAGCCAGGACTCTGCCGACAGCCAGGACATCCAGGTGCCAGAGCAGTTCTCAGGGCTGCTCCACGGCTCTTCTCCAATCTGTGAAATAAGCGAGGACCCTTTCAGGCTCGCTTCCTCCTCGGAGAAGGGGGACACTGAAGGCACGAGCCACCCTGCTGCTATGCAGCTGGAGGATGCTGAGCTAACGTCGTCAGGACCGGCCCGGAGCGGCTCCCCGGAGCCCACGCAGACGGCGGTGTACGCCACGGTGCAGCACGTCAGCCGGGCGGATCCCGCGGCCCCGGGCACGCCCCACGCGTGTGCCGAGCCAGAGGGGGACAGAGCTGTGGGCAGAGCCCACCCGGGCAGCAGACCCAAAGCCGAGCTCAAGCTCAGCCGCAGCTTGTCCAAGTCGGACTCTGACCTGCTGACCTGCTCCCCGACCGAGGACGATGCCATGGGGAGCCGGAGCGAATCGCTCTCCAACTGCAGCGCCGGCAAGAAGCGGCTGGAGAAGTCTCCATCCTTTGCTTCGGAGTGGGATGAGGTAAGGCTGAGCTTGCTAAGGAGCCTCTGTGCCAGGAATGGCTCTGCAGCAGGAGCTCCCCTCTGCCACTCTGCCCTCAGGGGTCCTGGGTGGGTTCCGTGAACTCTCACAAGGCAATAACAGGCACACGCTCACCTGGGAGTCTGCAGGGTGTTATATGCCAAAGGGTAAAGTTCATTGGAGTGGGGGAGTAGCAGAATTGCAAGCAGTTTCTAAGTTTTTTGCTCAAATACAGGGTGTCCTGGTTTGAAAAAGGAAGTGAGATTTTTTGGGATTAATGTGCGCTGTGCGCCAGTGTTGAGCAAAGCTTTGTATTCTTGTTCCTCTTCATCATATATGATGATAATGACAATATTTTCGGTCCCCTTGAAGGAACCTCCAAGACATATGCCCAGGGAGCATATATTTTCATGGGGGCACTGGCATTATGCCAGCTTCAAACCGTGACACAGGACTTGGTTTCTTTTAGGCAAGCCAGATAGGTTTTCACATCCCCAAAATGAGAAAGACTTGATAACAATGCCCTTCACCAACCTGTGAATCAATCCTGATTTCCTCCTTCCACTTCTTCCCTGTTGATTGTCCCAATGTTTTGGAAGTGTTCTGTTGCTGGGTCTGGGCTGCTGGGGAGTGTGAGCGGTGCCCAGGGGTTCATGGGGATGGAAGGAAGGCAGCAATTAGGCTGGTTTGTGTATTTGATAGCTCCTGCTCTCCTCCTCGCACGCTCATTTCAGCTGGTTAGCACTCGCTTTATTATCATATCGGACGCCCACGGACAGTTAAATATTTCGTGCTCAGAAAGTTGGCCCTGGAGAGCCACTGGGGCAAGATTAAGTGTCCCTCTGAAATGCAGCACCGCAGCATTACTGAAACATTCTTTGGGGATGATTCTGTGCTGGGAGAAGTGGGGCTGCAGGAGAGATAAGCTCGGATGAACCACTCTTTGTACTCTGGAAGGGAACTGGAAGCCCTGGCGTGGTGCTGGGGGTGTGGAGCCGCGTGTGCCGGGCGGGGAAGCCCGGGGGAGGGTTGTGCCCCTGCACTGGCTGATGCTCAGCTGCCTCTCCAGCCCTAACTCAGAGAGAGAATTATCATCTGGGGAAGAGGGAGGTATTTAGAGATGCTAAAAGCAACGTGAGAACCCATCCCTCGGTCCGTTCTCTCCCTCCCCCTCACTCCCTGCTGGGTCTCAGGGTTGCCAAATAGATATTTTCCTCTGCAGCTGCTTGGGCTGGAGAGGCTTTGCTGTTAATTGCCCAGGTCAGTTGTACCGTGGCTTAGGGAAAGGCTCTGCAGCAGAAGGTTCTTTGGAAGGGCTGGATAATTCCCTGTGCTTTTATTTGAGCTGTTTGCAGCAGACACTGAAAGGGCAGAAGCCTTTGGCACAAGTGCATTGGTAGCAGAGGTCAAGTGCTGAGCTGCCTGCACTGCCTCTGCTTCCTCTGCTCAGATGAACCCTCAGAGCTGCTTCCTCCTGCCTGTAAACAAATCCCTCATTTCCCCTGAGGCAGCCGGACAAGCCCCTGGAGAGGAATCTGCTTTTCCTTCCTCTCGTGTTTAGGTGAGGAAATCACAGAAAGAATGTGAAAAATTCACATCTGTCTGCAGTGGGGCAAATCGCGTTTTTTTCAAAGTCTGGCTGGTCATAGTGGCATCAGTGAGATTTAAACATAAATGTAATTCTGTGGTTGTGTGTCAGATTAGTTCCCTGGATGGGATAATGCAGCTGCTCAGAACTGGATGCAACTTGCAGCCTCTGCATTTACCAGAGCAATATAAACCTTGTTGAGCCACCCCTGTTAGCAATGGTTTGGCTTTCCCTCTGTGCTGGGGGGAAACAATGGCAGATTTATATTATTCTGTTAGTTTTAATGGCCTTTATGCAGGTGACTGAGGAGGGAGGGGATCCCTGTGCAGCTCTCCCAGCTGAGGACTCTGCCTGCTGGCCTGGCCAGCTGTAGCTGTGTCTGTGCAGGGCACAGGAGGGATCTGTGCTGTCCCTGGACAGATGAGATCTGCAGCAGAGCCTGAGCTGACCCTGCTCGGGGCTCTGGAGGCTGACTGGGGACAGAAAATCTGCTGCTTGTGAGCAGAGGGTCACGTCCCTGCCCTGGCCGAGCGCTGCCAATGCCCTTTGTTGGAAGTGGAAGGTGCTGCTGGCTTTGCCAGAAGGGTGGGATGGGGAAGGAGTTATTCACTTGGCAAAGCTCATCCCTGTTCCCAGTTGCAGCTCCCCTGTGCCAAGGAGCTGGCCCAGAGCGTTGCTTTGTGCTCTGTGCTGCCCAGGAGCCCGTTCAGCCCATGTCCCATCTGCTCCTGACCCCTGCAGCTGCTGCCAGGTGGGATCTCTGTGTGAGCAGGGCAGAAAAACTCTCACATCCAACATCCAGGCACTGCCCAGGGGGGTGAGGAGTGAAAATGCTCAGTCCTGCTCTGGTGGGGGCAAGGGGCGTGTGAGGGGATGTAACTCTCGGTCAGCATAAATGTTTGAATCCTTCCAAACCTGTCTGTGGGCTGAAGGGATGGATTTGGTTTTCATCATTGGCTCGTGAGTATTGAGCAGTGATGGATTTGGTTTTGGCTGAAGGGATGAATTTGGTTTTCATCATTGATTTGTGAGTATTGAGCAGACAGGGATGAGTGGGGCAGCAGCAACTCTCAGGGGTTTGGTACAGAACAACCTGGATTTGCATCTCTGAGGGAGGGAGGGGGCTCTGGCCCCCAGCCCCCTTTCCAGGGCAAATTAACTGCTTCTGCTCTGCCTTCCTGCTCTCCAGAGCAGCTCCAGACCTGCCCTTCTGCCTGGTTCATGCTCCAGGCTCTGAGCAGGGATTCTGCAGTCAAGGCCTGGGGCTGCTCTTCTCCCTCTTAGGTGCTGGTAAGAAAAACGATCTGTTAAATGACCAGGGCAAAGAACAAGGAAGGCTGCTGGGAATTACCCTCAGACCTGGCTCCTGACATCCCTTAAAATCCCCTGACATCCTCCACTTCCAGCTGCCTGCTGTCAAGTCATCTGTTCCAATGCTGAATTTCAGTTTTGGAGGTTCTGGTACCCATCTCACAAAATGAGGTTGTAGTTCTGTGTTCTAACCTAAGTGCTCCTAGGAAGAGATTAAACATCCTTCAAAAAAAATTTAGGGAACTGAATAAAACATGCACATCACTTTAGATTTTTTTGGAAAAAAGAAGGTGCACAGTCCACCAGTTTTTGGTTTTTTTTTCTCCCGAGTGAATTAGTTGAAGAACTAATGAGTATTCTGTAGCTAATTATGGCACTGGACATTCATCTCTGATGACTAACTGCAGTGGTGCTCCATGTCTCCTGTGAAAGGAATGCTTACATCTGCAGTTACCATGGATGAAGTATTTCACCAATTCCTGACCCATTTTGGGGCTGTTGATGTCTCCTAAGGATGGGTGCCAGGAGCAGATGGCACAGCTGTGGTGCTTCCACCTCAGGCTTGGAGCTGGGAAGGAGCTTGATGGAGATTGTGGCTGCCTTTAAACCTTGGCTGGACTGTTGGGTGCTGCAGCACCCTGTGGAATCAGTGTCTTAATTACAGGCTCACTGTGGAGGATTAACAACATTTGCATTGAAGTGTCAAACTTTGTGGAAAGCTTTTGATGCAAAACCTGCCACTGCTTTAAAACACTCAGGAGTTGAAATTCAGAGCTGCCAGCCAGCACCCTTGAAAGAAAATGCAAATATTCCCCTTGTTACTCAGGAAGTGCTGCTGCTTTTGTGCCTGGTGAAATTGCATGGTGTATAAAAGCTCTGCCTCCCAAAATGTTCCATTTATTCTCTTGGTTCAGGTGTTCAAATCTCAGCTTGCCCTGGGTTTGGCTGGTGGGGCCAGGCAGGGTGGCTTCAATTGTCCCTGGGTGTCCCCTGCCCTCAGCTCACATTCCAGTTCCCCCTTTGCTTGAAATAGCTGTAATTCACTTTTGTCTAGGGCAGAAGCAGCAGTGGGGTCAGTATTTTTGGTTTTGATTCTGCTAAACAAGCATGGCCAGCAGGCTCTTAATCAGCTTAATTATTGGGCTGATTATTCCATTGTCTCCAGATCCCAATGTTTCCTCCTGGTTTTCCTGTGCTAAGGTCAGGAATTCTTACGTCATCCCTCATGTCCAATCTCTTCTCTTTGCCCCCAGTGGTGAGATTTCCTCCAGCCTGATGAACTTTTTGAAGTGAAAGCTTTTGTGTTTCCACCATTTTTAAGTGTGCTGCAAAGTCCCAGCCTGTTGGAATCCTGAGCCAATGTGGAACTGAGCCAATCCAAGCCATAGTAAGACAATTTACTGGTTTGACAGGAAAACCTGTGTGCTGAAGGGCCAATGTAAAGACCAGGCATGCTTTGTTCCAGCAGCCAGGGTTGGACTGTGATATTTGCCATTGCAGCAGCTCCATCCACCTCTGTGTGAGTTTCTGGGGGCTTCTCAAGTGTGTGAACTCAATATTTGTGAATCAGGAGCTTTTGATTCTTGTGAGAATGATGGGATGTTTAGGTTATGTAACAGCCTTGTGATCACTGGCATTTTGGGGACATTTTTGTTTTTCAGGAACAGAAATGTCCGACCACAGTGTCCTTACTAAATCCAGTCCTTCATTATGTTCTCTTCTGCTTTATGTCCCATCTTCCAGCCCTTCTGAAGCTTTTATTTAAAAAAATGTCTTTAAATCTCTCTCTCCAGCCTGGAGCAGCTTCACTGCTCTGCCCCACAGGCCAGAGCCAGCCTTGCTTGAGAGCCTTATTGCTTTGGGGTTTGTGTCAGGATGCAGGAATATGGACAGACTGTGAATTGATTCAAGCCTTTCTGGGGGTTTGCCTTTTTTATTGTGACTCAGAGTAGCCTTTGTCCAGTTCAATAAGCTATCAAAGATCAGTACCTAGAAAGAGAGGTCAGTTTGCCACTTAAACCAGAGGCCAGTGAAACCAGTGATCTGTTTTGGAAATCTAAAAGTTTATATATAAAGACTGCAGTTAAAAAAGGTAGCTTTT